AACCTTTTTCGAGAACCTATGCCTACGAACATGGAGTATTACGAGATCGTACTAGATTTTATCGATACCATCCGGATTCAGCCATTCACATTATATTTACCACGAAGTGTAGAATCGACGGTTAGAGACCAATAAATAATATTAATGATCGATCGGCTGTAAAAATTTTTCGATGCATAGCTGCTATGCTATCCGAAGGAAACACGTGGGATGAGATACTGCCAAGTTGCCCAATTCGACACAGAAGCAGTCGAGATGCCGCAGCTAGGTTCAAACCATTGGAACATCTGGCTAGTAGGCTCGCGCCCTGACCAACGAATCAGCTAGAGTTCAACAGGGAGAACTATCGACTGTTGACAGCTCACGCTACGTGACTGAGTATAATACCGTCCCATATGTGGGCTTATGAGATGGTGGGATTTACATATGTCATTGATTGTGCCGGTTACTTATAGAAATAGCTGCGGGGTTAAACCATAAATCATCAGTACAGGTTGTGTATACACAACCGAAGTCACCGACTGATGGTGATGAAGGTAAAAGTGATCGCATAAAAACGTGACAGACAGCCATGAAAATAAGAAAAATGAATGAAAAAAACATTAATAGGTATGAGGGAGGCGTGTTGATCCTGAGATTATCGTTGTGAGAACCAGTCAAAAACCTCTCCGCTCATTCCGCTTTTCGAATTATACGCAATCCAGTCATCGGCTATAGGAGCATAAAGAAGTCCAGGCGTGAGGCCAAACGCCTCAGTTGCCAACGACAGTGACTTTGAACTGAGACCATGACAAAGACAACGAGATTCACTCCGCAGACACGTGACGAACTGAGTAGGCATGTCCGGCCATTCCACGGCATCTGGGCCGACTAAGCTCTCGGTAACATACAGACGGTGAAGCATTCTCATTGCGGTCACTGTCGAATCATTCAGATTGGCCTTATGCCGTTCTAGCACCGCAGCAAACTGTTCGGAGCACAGACGTTCGGCGTAGGCTCGAGCGGCTGCTTGAATCAAATCGGACAATTCGTACATCCATGCGTTGAACAAATCCTTGCCTTTCACACCATCCAGCGTTCTGGCTAGGAGGGAAAATAGGGCCAGTTCACGCTTCTCCAGCAAGCTATGCAAATATCCAACGTCTTCAGTGTACTTAGGATCTGCGCGAAATTCAGCCGCCGCGGAATGTGGAGGTAATACTTGCCAGTCCTTGAGAAGCTGAGCAAGGCGTTCCTTCGCCACCTATAACACAATGTAACATCATAGAATTACAGAACGAAGCAGCAGTAAGAAAGGACGAAAATTTATTAAGGGTGGGTAAGCAAAAAATGGAACCCGTGGTTTTGAAGGAGTCATTTATGTTTTGCCTACAGCCATCGCTTCAGCCCCGAAGGGGGAAGATATTCGTCACGTTACGCGAGGAAGTGGCACCGCAAGTTTGATACCTATCGGTGCTAACAGTTTCCCATTGATCCGTTCACCAAAATCTACGCAACCACACCAACTGAACGAAATCCAACATCGTCTAGAGATAAGACAATGTTTGGGACAACGGAAAGCCGACATAATATGTTGCTTTCGTCCAAAACAGACTATCTTTTTGGATAACCTTTCACTGTCACTTGCTTTTACTGTTCCTGTCTAGACTTGCGTAATTCGTACGTATTACAACCCTGGTATCTACAACAAGTTCAAAGGCAGCTACGTACCAAGGATAGAAAACAGGTGGTACGATTTTTCGGTTCTTATTTTGCACTAAAGGTAAAGCACCTCAAGAAAGTTCAAGACCAACCCAACAAATAAACCAACGGAATAGATTGGCATACTACGAGTAGCATGTTCTCTCAAGTGTTATTGTTATACGTGCGCCATTTCATTACAGTTTTAGTGAAAAGTGCCTCCAGTTTCTAAGATACCTGGGTGACTAAGTCTCTTATGACGGATCAACACTCACCTTCCACAGGAGACAACCAGTGTCATTCACGTTGTGATTTACCGTGGTTCTGAACAAGCGAAATGTACTTCCGAAAAGTTTTACTTTTCACACAGAAGGGGTTAAACTGAGTTATAGGACAAAGATCGAGTGTGCCTGCACGTAGACTTGTGCGACACTGTTCATCGCAGAGAAAGTTATAAACGGATCTCCATAGGCCAACAGCAACAAAATGCCGCCACCGAACAAGGTCATTAGATGCGTCAATTTGAAGCAGAACGACCACACCAAACAACGCAGTCGCAGAATCGATAACTAATTTCAACCGCAGGCGAAAAGTCCGAGTGAGCTATTAACATACGGTTGCGCTATTCTACCAAGTCAGTGGTTCTTAACAGGCTTCCTCAGCCCAGCCCTTCTGAGAACAGTCCAAAAAACTTCATATGCCCCTAGTTTGATGAAGAATGAACAAATGGTGTCACGGGTACCAATGAACATTTCACCTCAGACATACAGGCCGTCATCGAGAAAACGATGAAGCAAAATCTATATGGTCTTCAAAATCTCGTCTTCAAGTTGTTGCTGACAAGGTGCATGCCAGTATGCAGTACGCAGACGACATCGTCTGAATAAAGGAGGTCGAACAGAAGGCACAAACTATTGGATCGAGTGACCACTACCACACAACCGGTATCTGCCTTGGACGTACAAAGTGCAGGGTCAGCCCTTAGGATGTGCAGTGTTGAACACTAGTTGCTGCGGCGTTTTACACACCTCGGTACTACACGGAATTGTCTGGTGAAGTGTGCGAACCACGAAGACCCAAAGTATGTTCGCCAAGCAGATTCGTCTGCGTCACTGAAACTTAAACAAACGAATCACAAGGCTCGCGTGTACAGACCGGGTTGTGCTGTAAACTTAAGACTTGGTTTGCGCAGGTGAACCAACTGAGGTTTTGACCACCGATGACTCCTGAGCATTACTGGTATTGGGTGGTGCCAACGAATATGTGACTAGAAAACCGGTATCCGGTTGTGCAGAAGGTACTTCAGCAGCTGAAAAACCCAAGCCTCGAACTTGTGCCACGTGTGCTAAGCCACCAAAAGCCGAGACGAATGCCGTTCTCGATGTACCCCTTCACAATAAAGCAGACTGCGATCTGAAGCACTAGCCCAGATGCTGAGAGGTTCCTGTCAGAGAGACAATCTTGGGAGTACAAGGTGTTTTCAATCGCTATTCACCCTCCTAAAAACTCCCCCAGGGCCGAATACGGGACACTCTCGGTTCTCAGATATCTGGACCAATCCACGATAATGGAGAATACGATAGAAAATGCCATATATTACCCCGTACTACTTACTAGCCTCCTGTTAAGTAAAACGGTTGACATAGTCTACGGTGTCACGCAGTGGAACAGAAACTGGGTGATGTTGGGCTCGGAACTTGTCGCTGATAGTGTTTTACGGGAAGTAGCGCCTGGGTACACTCTTCAAACCAACTCTTTTTTCTTTAGAAGAAAGTCGACGTGAAGCGAATTAGGTTAGCAGACCGTTTATGTGCTGCTGATGTAATTTGGCTTAGGATGCGTATACCATCAGGGGAAACATGCCATAGATGAATTTCGGATCGAAGGCTATGGTACTGAAACACGACAAACTCTATACATGCAAGATGCCAAGTAATTAACATTATTTTCGTTTTATATTGAAATACACCTTCCGCCGTGTCATTTTGTTTCATGACGCTTATTAGGATTTAGCTTGGTGACACTAAAAGTACTCATAGTGAATGATAACCATGATACACGTTGATCAACTGGGGCTAGTATATCTAAGTCAAGAGTACTCACTCCAGGCAGAGCCAATAATTGTGACACACAAACCTGTTAGAAACAGCAGAAACAACAACAAGCAAGGTGGGGACACCGTGTGATACGATTTACTTGACCAGCGAGGAGGCACCAAAGCCGGTGAGGAATTCTAACATACCGCGAAGGCGAAGTAAGTTCATAATAGTCGACGTGCTTACTTTTTGCATCAGAACAGAATTGTCCCCTTCGGCAGTCATGCTTGCATGAGCTGAACCCAAATAAGTGCCAAAGCGGCTACATGATAAGAAGCCCTGACCACCAGTTCGCTCCCGACACGTGTTCACGGTTCGATTCAAATGCCAAGCGGCGAGTGGTTTAATGGCGCAACACATAACAACAACGGAGTTGGAATCCGGAGAGTCAATAGCCTGGAAGCGGTGAAACGGAGGCACACTCCGTTAAATAACGGTGAAGAAAACGATATGGTAAAAGTCGTTGTATAAGTTTTTGTCTTAATATCAGCATAATCAGAAAGCTTGCTGCTAGAAAATTCAAACGCAAACACACTATGGCGTCCTTTCGGTGTCACCGGACGTTTAAAGACAGTGAGCAGGATAAGAACTAAGGCTACATTAATGGCTGTCTCAAGAGTATTCGAATCTAACGATGAACGGTGAAATCAGATCAGTCTCCCTGGAGCCTATTTCTCAGTCCTGCAAAAACGGATGGAGTGTGATGAAATACAAAGGCTCAAACGCCTCGGACAGTAAGCTCAGCTGTCGTCCTAATCATCAAGCCAAATCATGCATTCATCCACGAGTACTGCAGCCTGTATAGCATCGGAACGCCTTTGTATAAAGCTTAACAATGAAGTCAAGGCAATGTCAGAAAGCGGTCCGAAGACTAACCCGAAATATCATCAAGATGGATCACAATCTGCTGGACCGAAATAATTCATCTATGCTCAGTGGTAAAGGAATCTAGAGGCTGTGGTTAGCTTGCGATTAAAATATAAATGAGATGATCACCTGGATAACCACGTTCGTCTGCAAACTCCTGGATTAGCTGTTACATGTACGACTGGAGTATCACAACAACACAACCTAAAAAAGGGGAATTACAAGGTATGTAGCACAGAGCACAAACTACACAGTTACTCACTCCTGTGGATGTTTTAGCCCATGAATCCTTGATGTGATCTAGCCCAAAGTTGATAGCATAAGTTGCAGCAAGCAGAGGAATGAGACTGCGTTGTTGAAGTTGATAGGACAGAATGGGGACATCTGACTTTCCGGTAGGACCCACGGCGAGTCGAGAGGCAGAATAGCTCAGTGCAATGGCCAAAGAGGCTTTCGCTGCACCCTAGGGAAGTTACGAGAAAATATAAAAGGGTTTCAACAAAAGGAGGAAAAGTACCTTATTTCGTTAGGAGCATGAGATCTGGAAATTTCGCTAAAGGTTCAATTCTTTAAATAACTAAAACCCGAAAAGAATGGTACAGATATTTAATTCTTGTTGCGATTGCGAATAATCGGTAGTATATTACCCCAGCCAGCAGCTGAACTAAGACGCCTTCGTGTATTCGACAACGGTCACCACAGAACCATAGCCCATGTAGGCTGGTGACAAAGAACCTGCAACGAGAAAAAGTGTGGCTGTGCAACTGGAGCTACAATCGATTCAAGTGTTCAGAACCAAAAACTGAGTGGTTGGTCACGTAGTTCCAAATTATCGTTTACCGGAAAGAGTGTTGTTTCCCATGCCCAGTGGCATAAGCAGAGAAGTGGTCAACCTTTGATTCTGCATCTGGGCACTAAAGCGATTATGAAGTCTGGGTACTTTGGGTGCGATCTGCCCTCCAAAGTGATAACTACGTGCATCTAAGAGCGGTTTGAACTCGCGACTTTCTAGTTAGTAGTTGAACATTATGCTATTCGGCCACGAGTGACTAATCAGCAGTGTCATTAACTCGCAGTTAGACAGAATACAGCGTCACTCCCTCCTTCAGTCACGCGATTCATATCGCGTGGTCATGTGATGACTGCCTTTTCAAGTGACTACTTCTCAGACAAACAATATAAAAAATAATCCAGCTGTAACACCCTTTCGGTGTCTAGCTGCCATGCTACCCACAGGAAGCATGAGGGCTGGGATGCTGCCAGGTCGCCCAAGCCTAGAGAGGAGAAGTCGAGAGGCAGAGGTCGCGTTTGAACCATGCAGCACCCATGCAAATTGAGATGTTGTTCCATTCTGAGCAGACTGTTTATTCGCAGTATGAGCGGAATTTGGAAGTAAAAAAATTTAGTGCTGCAGGTGAAACTAATCAGCACGGAAAAGCAGAGGAGCAGAGAACGCAGGTTTCATCGTTCTTGCGAATTACCAGCAGTGCATATCACGCCACAGATGTACACCGCTGATGAATTCCAACAGGGATTACACAGCTGTACAGTACTCCTCAGCTTCCAGAATGGACATACTTTAGAATAAAAAACCTACTGACATTTTATTTCGCTGCATAAAGTAAAAGCCAGCTGGAATTGATGAGTAGGTGGTTTCACCGAGTCCATTCGCACTTATTGATGTGTGGGTAGGGGAAGCTAGTGTAATACGACTCTCGAAGATAATCGTTAAAAAACCGACATCCACGATACGGATGCGAAATAGAAACTGCCGTACAGTCAGTGACGTTCCATAAATCCGTCCCAATACACAGGTTACTGCTTTTGAAAACATGGATCACAGCATTCAGATCAGCTGTTGCATCTAGACAGCTGCAGACTATGACAGGAATGTATCTGGTTTACCCTTCGTGCAATTTGCCTTCAGTAAACGGAATAGAGGCGTAAAATCGGCCAAATTAAAAAACGGAGCAAACTAAATCGCCGATTAAGTAAACCACATTTGCCAGTTGTTCGTACTCGCCATATATTTAAACTTTCCGATGAGTTTATTGTGAATCTAGCAAGACTGATTCTGCCGGACCGTTTATCGAGCGATTTCTAATCAAGTGATACCTCGTTATGATCAACAACATATCTACGACACATTCATGAAGGGTTGTTTTCAATGGATGAAGCCAGACAAATAGTGAAGTGTCCGAGTAGAGTTATAGCCCATGACCTGTGTGGGAAAAACAGAAGCACCGATGTGAGAACTTTACTGCATCCGGGTTGAGACTGAGAAACCAATTGACAGGTCAAAGTTAGAGTTGCCGAGAACGAATGACGCCCAGTTGTGTGTCTCACCTAAGATCAACAAAGACACGTGAGTTTTCATAGCCAGCTAGAAAGTTTCAAAGGGAGAATTCCACCCTGGAGGCTGTAAATGACACAAAACGATCAGGAACTACTTGGTACGTACACTCCCAAGAACAGAAGCCATCAAAGTTGGTCCGTTGGCAGTTGGTGGGAGAAACATCCGAACTGACACTTGTGTACGTTCGCTGTGTGTTTCTCAATAAGTTACTCTGAAATTCTGCATTCCGCTGGTTTGTTTGGGCTATGCTTTGTTTCTCTCTTCAAGCTATATCGCACTATATCGCTCCCTAGATTCATGGTGTATTTCAGAATTCCACTGATGCAGGTTCGATTGATCACTAAAATATCGGATCGATTTCCTGGTCCGCTACCGGCAACAGGCTCTGAGAGAAGGAAAGTTCGGAACAATTTTGGTCCGAAAAATATCAAATTCTGATCTCAGTGGCACCATAAAGAAGCGACCAGATCCCATAGCGCTTGAATTGAAAACTCACTAGTACGCGGCTAAAACCAGTTTAGTTTTAGGACAAACCATCAATCTGTGCCCACGGGATTGTAGTTTGCTCGTCTAGTTTCTGTTGTGCAGATGAAAAGGCGGTTATGTAAAAGAATCCGCGGGAATGTGCCATCTGGGTTAGGAACCGGAGCAGAGGGTCCACGGGATTGTAGTTTGTTCATCTAGTTTCTGTTGTGCAGGTGAAAAGACGATTATGTAAAAGAATCCGCGAGCATAAGCCATCTGGGTTAGGAACCGAAGCAGAGGCGTTACGTATATCGACTGCAAAAATTCAGCCCGGACAAGAGGAGGCGTATTGCATAAAATTCAGATACTGAATATGATGTGATAAAACGAGTCCGTCGCAAAACGTCGATATTTCTGCTCAGCTGCGGAATGCGTTGCTTGACACAGATAAGTCAGAAAGAGAGCTTGGACGCATAAAAATGTATGCTGTATCCCTAGCTTTGACTGGATCACTCATATGACAGTATGTCCCCCGTTCAAAGGCAGTGTATTCACCCAAACGTTCAACATAATTTAACAGTGATTACTCACGTCAAGCAACCTAATGACAGATTTATGATAAATTAATTAAGAAGCTAGCCCCATTTAAAGATACAACCTTGAATGAGTTACCTGAAATTACTAAGCGAGTAAAGTTATTTGAAAGCAATGTAAATTTAGTTGTCATGTTGTATCAGTCAGTTATAACATGACAAACAATTGATTATCTTGTCAGTCGTTTTAGCAATTGATGAAATTCAATGTGCCGAAGGGGAAAGATTAATTCTAGTTTGACTCTCTTATAACACTTCAAGTGACCAGACTCAAACTATGATGGTATGATACAAGCGGAACGAACATCGGGCCGAATGATTTCCCCGCGATGCGATGATCCAATCAGGATACGAGATAGAGATAGAGAAAGCTTCGTGGTGATTATACGAACTAGGTGGTCTTTGTTCCAAACCTAACCCCAGCATCTCCACTGTTCTTGTATAGGCTTGGGTAACGTGGCACTGCTTCCCTCGTGTAATATGTCAGCTATGCATCGAAAGGACTTTACAGCTTAGCGACTATTATTATTACTGTTATCCAGAGGGTTGTGTGGAGTTGTTTAGTGGCCTTAGAATAGTGCGTGCATCAAAGTCCGTATATTCGACAATCAAATAGATCAAAGATCCTGGTCTTCCAAGTGAAACTCAGGCGGAAAATTCCGTGAATGGAATAAATATTTTATCTACGTTTTCGGCAAAATTTTCTAACTCCCAGTAGAATCCTGACAACCTTTATATCTGTTCAGTTTCGTACAGTATGTGTTGAGGTGACAAGTCAGTTGCAACTCCAAGACAGCAACACAAAAACAGATAATGATGGAAACGATTGGTCACATACTAAGTCTGTTGCCAAGTTTGTTGTTCGATTCTGATCGGGCGTGATCAAGAATAGTCCGTTTTTGCAATAGGCACGAGGGTGGAATTGTAGGAAAGTCGAGAAATAGATTGCTACAACCATGTAACGCTTAGCATACCGGATGAGTGAGTTAAAAAATTAGAAAATGACGGCTGAAGTAGGATGTATTCGTTCAAGAAATATTGTGTAAATACCCAGAAGCCTACGGTGAGCGTTTAAAAGGACCTTATAAAGTAGGAGGGAAACTTTAATTTCGGCAGTTTAAATTAATTTGACAAAAAGCTAAGACGGTTATAGAGAGAACCTGAGGAACTCTACAGAACGGTTGGTCTGTTTAGGGGCCGCTGTCCCTATGATGCACATTTCACCAGAAGCACTCAATTCTTCTTCACTTTGTAGGATACCCTAAGGCCTGAATGGTGGAAATTAGTGGGTTGACGACCAAGTCCATTACAGCACCCGCCGTACTTTGCGACTATCAGTGTAACTTATAGGAGCCCTATGTGATTCGCCACTTAGGGTCCCTGAATTATGTTACCAGCCAACTCAACTAACAACGATGATGATACGATATACCATTAATACTCGCTCTCAGCTCTCAATTTCGTCCTACAACAAACGTGGCCATAGCATGAAAGTCAACGTAGTCTGTCCCCATCCTCTTTCATCTTGTTTGTAACAAGTGCTGTCCGGAAGAAGTAAACTAGACGAGGTGTGATAGCAAAGCAACATGAGAGACATACGCGATCACACTCCCGGTAAGTTGTGGTTCTAGTGTACAAAAGTGTATATTTGGACTGGGCACAAAAAAAAGAACATAGCCTGAGATAGAATTGTAAGCACTACGTCTCTTCCCTTCACTCATTCAAAACTGCAATCCATGGAGAGGGAAACAAAGTCGTCAGTCACAAGGCTGAAAACTATAAAATACGCCTCCAGAAACCCAACTAAGGCACTAAGTCGTTATTTTTGCGACAGTTTTTTCTCTACCGTCAACGTACGAGCTGGCAGTTGGGTCGTAAAGTTCTTGGGCATCCAAATGATTTTCGTGCACTTCGATGGGATTGTTTCAGCATACTCAACGCAAAGGTTTATCAAGGATCTGTTCGTTCATGTATACTATTTTAGTAGGTCTCCACCTGTGTTGTGTTCCCTATATCACCCACGTATTCACTGACGATATAAAAACCAATGACTCGGCATCTTATATCTTTCCGCGCTGTACTTGTCTTCCAATGTCAAACGACAGTGTACAGGCGATCAGCACTCCAACTATTCTCCGTTGTTCTTTCTTAAGTATACGGATTCGCACTNCCTACAACCTTTCTTGGTCAACTCAACAGACAGCCACGATTTCAATCAAGGTGGGTTTTCTCTTCGGCATCCGATGTCACCTCACTGGCCACCAACATGTTTTATTTAAGCTCCGGATTCACATCTTACACCTGCCTTTCACTCCTGAACCGTACATAAAAACGATCAGTCACCTCAGTGCCAATACATTTCTTGCCAAGAACTTAAATCCCTCTTCTCATCGTCCAAATTTGACATCCTCTTTTCTGTGTGGTTGTGGCTATCAAGACAAATGTTCATCACGAAACGTACACGAAATTCCTAAACTTCGGTTTTTCCCCCATGTCTAACCCAACTATCGTACGCAACTGTTGGACCAAAGTCGTCGCCACTTCTTTCTTCGGTCAAACAGGTATACTGTATCCACCATATTCCCACTTTCTTATAAGCGAAAACCTTTCAACACTCGAATTAACAAGTTCGCGTGACTAACATACTTTTTTCTTCTATTAGTAAAACCTGGTGATATCCAGTAGAGCGCTCCACAACCTACTCCACATGAGGATCATGTCTAATTCCTAATACGCACTCAGTATAAAGGAAAACGCTTGGATGTACTGATGACAGGAGTTTATGCGAACGTCCGCCGCATGCAGTACGTTAAATGAGATCGATGATCTCACATGAATGTCAGAATCCTAAGATGAGAATGTAGGTGAATCGATCAGAAGAAACTTGGGAAGTTCGTCGACCAGGTGGTTCCTTTTCGTCATCGTTGTTAAATCGACTCGGCTGAGTCCTGAATCAAAACCAAATACCCATCCAATACATCAAATATCATTTCCTAAGTCATCAGAACGCCCGAGAAACAGGAGGAAACAGCGTAGTTCAACCGTCACTTTACATGTCATATCCTAATGAGTGGACTGGTGTATTTCCATTCAATGTAGTCCACCAATATGAGGATATCAAACGTTATCTGAAGGTGCAAATGAGGGAGTTCGTTACCCCACCAGGCTCTGGAGGGTCAATTCGCAGTCGCTCGAAACAGAAGTGTTGCGACCAAACTGAAAAAATGTCAATCCAGTGAATTCGGGCCTAGAACCGGAAATGGTGGACCGAGGTATAAACGAACAAGCTAACAATCGCAATTCAGCATGTACACACTCATGATCATCAACATGCCAAGTGACATGAATGGTCTATAAATAAGACTATTCGATAAATCTACAGGCCCGTTTGCAATTGAATGGTTTAATCAAACAATATTGCAGGTAGATACGTGACTTGCATGCAAGGTTTTCACGCCGAGTTCCGCCAAACATTCATAGTATTTCTAGATACTCATCTTCTAAAACTGATACGATAAAGCTTCCCATGGAACCCGATAAATGCTGACAATGAAGTGACACATCAGCATACATTTCAGTAATAATGTGTGTTATGAGTACCTTCGGGTATGAACTTAAGAACCTAGTAGGCTAAGTTAACAAGGAACCAGAGAATACGTTAGTGATAATGCGGAAAACATAGAGACATTTTGTATCTGGAGTGTTGCAGAAAAAGATAAGATGTTTAGCCGAAACAAGTTTACTTACCAAACACATACTGGCAATACAAATACGTCCCGACAAGAGCTGATCAGCCACTTTGAGAAATCGATTGCGTGGGTTGTCGCCCAATTTTGTGCTGAACTTGCCAGAAGCGGAAACGTGAGAATAGCGATCGAGCAGATTACTTCGTGGGATTCGGACATGATCAAACATTAGACGAGCATTGTCAACACCGTTCAAGCCCAATTTATGACCCATTTCTTCAATCGTAACACCCGGCATAACCTGTGACAAAGATTCAGTTGGGTGAACTGACGATTTCAAGAAGAAATATTTGTGTCTCAGGACTTTATACGAAAAACGGTGCAGCACAAATGACTATCAGGAGTTTGCGGTTCAGTGCATCCGAACGTAATATTCGCAGCAAAACAGAATCCAAAGGATTCAAAGAATAGTCCTCATTTAACTACGGCCGCTCCAGCAAAACACTTCGCAACCAAAAGTGGTGTTGCTAACCCCAATAGGGCATTTCGCTAGGTAGTTTTATCTGCACCTGCCAATTTACTCGAACAGCATCAGAAGAAGGCAATAGTCCGTAAAACGATAGAAGGATTGATTGCTAAACAACGTTCTGCTTCTGACTCAGGCCAAATTGGCAGATTAAATTTTGGCCGAGTTTTAAAGCAGATAGGGGCCAATAAACGGAACGCTTTTCCGATCGCGGACTAAATAGATGTTGGGTTGAGGTCAGAAGTTCCCGTTCTTGTTCTTGTTAGCTTGTGTGACGGACTTAGTGTTCACATAAAGGAAACTACTCACAAGGTTGCTGAAAACTCTTCGACAGCCCACGACCAGTTTCGCCTATCTTGGGGCTCATCAAATAGGCACAGTCCCCTAGTTTCCGTCAACCTTAAGTTCTACTTGAACCCAAATTGAACAGATCTCGGAATGATTGTGGTAAGCTAGCACTAAGTCCCTTCCCCGTCCTTTTCTTTACAATAAGACTTTCAAATAAATCATGGTTGTACGGCAGTGAAGCATCAGTGTTGAACACTGATGTTATGCTGTCGATGATGATGATGATGACACTCATTAGCATATCAGTTGGGTGTTGACGGGAGACGGGATAATTAACTACAACATCTTAGATATAGGGTCTCCCGTAAGAGCCAAATTGATATGCAAATGAGTGTACTTATCGAATTTCGTGCAATCTGTGTTCAAGTTGAACATAATTCTGACGAAATATTGGGGACTGAGTCTACCTGATGAGCCTCAAAAAGCTCAAAACCGGTCGTGGGCTATTGATGAATTTTCAGCAACCCCGTGAGTAGTTTCCCATAGGCGAGTATGAGTTCTTTCGACTGTAATTTTTTAGTCTATGCGTCCAACACTATGTACAAAGAACACACACTGACGAGCATAGAGACTCCTGCTCTGGGTACCTAGTCTAAGGCTCCTCACCACCTAAATGCCGTCAAAAACTGTGAAACGGACTTGTCCTTAAGACCAGGATGCCACTCATGAATTGACTCAGTTGATGCCTTGCCTGAACGACAGTGACTGTCTCCGACCATTTGTCCAACAGTCCATGAATTCAGATTATAGATCAGTGCTTAATCAATAAAACAACCTTTTTGTCGACCATTACATCTCGCCACCACCTCGGAATTCATCAAAATGCTACACAAACGAAATAAGCATCCAGTGTGTTGCAAGGATTACACTTCGCAATGACATCCGGTGCCTAATAAAGGTGACAGAACGCACGACACGCGTATACACGACCTGGCGTTCACAGAAAATTTGACCACAAAGGCCGCAAAAGAATTCAGCCATTGCTCTCCATAACTCAGTGGACGAGAATTTCGCCAAGGCCTTTATAAGCGCCACATCAGCTGGAGCATATGTTGGCCATTTGTTTGGCACTGGTAACAATGATAACTGACCGCGACCTTGACCTGGAACAAATCACATGCAACGTCCCACGCTCCTTTGTCTCATCGAAATATGCTGATCAAGAGGCCACAGGCCGTAGTTGCACTCTAACCCAAAAGAAACGATGGCGCATACCAGTGCACTTAATGTGTCATCCAGGTATATCCGTTTCCTTTTTGGATGTTCTTTCAGTCTGGATAATTCATTCATGAATGCCAGTTGACCAAGCCCGTGATAGCCACTAGCGCGCTGCCACCCATCACAGAGTACAAGTTATCACTTGATACAATTGGTCTGTTGAGATAAAACTATCACAATCCACCTAAAATCAGTGTCCACTGTGTATGATAAACATCACTCACAAATTCTACACGATCCAAACCAAACGTTCTGCTTGCCACTTTGATTGTATGTGGTCTCTCATCCTCTAACAAATCGCCCCCATTCATCATACATGGCTGGCAAGAAACATGAGTTTTGTGATAATTCATACAAACTTTGTTCGAAATAAGGCCGTGATCAAGTCAGTATGATTCTCTGGGTATATTATGATATTGAGGAAAAGGCAAATCTATCAAGTCCAGGAAAAAGGCAAACAAATCAGAAGGGCGACCCGTCTTTAGAGTATTTGCGTTCAATATGGTTCTAATGTTGTCTTAGCTGACATCAATATCAGAAGGCGGTTTTCGTTAGATTTTGTGAATCACCAGGTTTCCCATAAACACACAGGTCATGCTTCGGCTGACATCCAACCAGCATTTTGGCCGAATCAGATTTAGCGTCCGAGGGGACACGTCCCGCTCGATGAGGGGCAGTGAATACCCTGAAATCCTGTGGTTATTTCCACATACCCAACCTCCTGAAGTATTTACGACGGTACTTATCTCGTTCAGGTTAATGTTGACGTCACCTAAAGATACACATGTAAGGCTGTATTTACGTGTGGGTCAGAAAGTTTTCCGATGGCTGTCCAGGAATTCGCTTCCTAGCACTCTGTTGGGAACTTGAAGAAAATGTACAACACAACGAGCTGAATTGAAGTAGACACTCAAATGGGATCGACAGTCAAGAGTAGAGACGCAGCACCGGCGGCTAATAGATACGCGGTGAATCTGGGTCCACTGTCGTTCCGCAGCAAGGGAGACGTCAGGTGTGTACCCTCACTGAGAGTGGTACTACTAGAAATCAATTGATCAGCACCAGCGGCAGAATACAGTCACCATTGTCTTATATCTTGGGTCTAAGCGGAACAGACCACTAAGCCGCACTTTCGATGAACTGAGATGTTCTGCATGTGCACTGAGACCTTGGGTGACCAGGCAAATATCTGAACTTCTCGTGCTGACTAAAACAGCGTTTAGTTTCCTACAGTGTTTCTCTTTGAATTAGATTAAGATCGGTTGGTGTAAATCAGCAAAATACAGATGAGGAACGGATTTAACTTCAGCTGCAATAACGTCCGCATAACATGCTGCAGAAGACATGAGATCAACTGAAGTCAGTAGGCGGTAGTGTTTATACGCTATTAGTCACCACTTTGGATACAAGGCTGATACGCACTTGACGTCTACAGGGAAGAGTTAAGAGATAACAATAAAGAACGATAAGAGGTTACTGTAGAAACCTGTTTCCGATTGCCCGTCTAGCTATACGCAGCACGTAAGAAGATCCGGATCGTGGCATGAGACGACGCGGATGTTGGCATTTGTTCAATTCATTGTTCTACTACTGTGACGCCAAAACTTGGACGGGAAGAAGACCAGGACACTCAGTCAAAGCTCTTGGCTCAAAAGCATGGGTGACAGGCGATAATAGTTGGCGTGAGACTATGGGTAATGCGGTCTCACTACACATGTTCTCACCCTTGACCTGGAACGCCAGCAGACTGTTAGCCTGAAGTCTACCCACGGACCAACATGGTATGGGAGGATCTGGCAGTGTCATACACAACCCACAGAATAACCGGTTGGATCACAGATGTGCAGAAGCCGTCAAACCATGGTAAAGTCCATGCTCCTCGCGGCGGAATATGAGGGGATATTGCGCAGGGGACACCAACTGGAGGGAGACTCCGGAGCATCAGAAGCGTTTCTTTTTTTAGGAGTTTTGTGAGGTTTGAGGACTGTTACTGTAAACAAGTGGAAGTTGGTTCATGGCCGGGCGGCCTCGAATCACCAAATGGAATGACGAAATGGTCACTGACACTTAGGACAAAGCAACTGGATTTGAAATATTAAGGCACTCGATCAATGCTTTCAGATAAAGCGCAAAATAATCGGTGATCTCCAGGCCACCGATTGTTGAGATTATGCTTACCAGCATCATTTACATTGTTAATGAGTGGCATCTATTTATTGTGATTTTAATTCGAAGTGAAGTTATTAAAGCTACAGCTGAAAAGCACCTGGTGGGATCAACCGGTGCAAAGTCTGGTGCATTTAATGGTGATTATTTTGATAAACTTGATGTACTTAACATTTTAGTGCTTGAACTCGGACGACATGACTCGAAGCCACATGACTCATTTGACGTGCGAGCGAAACTGTTTCATGTGATCTAATCTTACCTGAAGATTTTGATCCCGAATAGGAACAAGAAAAGCGTGAACTCCCTGATCTTGGCCACCTAACAAGAGGCGAGCGAACAGGATACAGTGATGCGCATGGAGAGCTCCGTTCGTTATCCAGTATTTGGACGCTTCAACTGTAGGTGTGTTTACTACAAACTCGTCAGAATTGAGGTCATATTCTGCAAGGGTTTCCATCATTGTTGCGTTGTTTCCGAATCCCAGCTCCGTTAAACCGAAACAACCAACATCCTGAAAACAAAAGTGCAGTAATCAAAAATTTTGAGCGTCGTTCACCACATTCTGAAACAAGAAACTGCATGTAATTAATAAGTGAATAAAAAGAAATACCATATGTACTACAAAAAGGTCTTTTCAAAAATCGTCGCTCAACCATAGTTATCGATACGCACATCAACATCCCAATTAGCAATTAATGTAAAGCTAATCTTTATGAATGGCTGAAGCCCGCGATCACGATCGGTCAGCGCAGTAGTTTGCCGCTACAATACTTCATACACACAAGTAAACAATTTTCGCAACCAGTACAAAGTGTGCACAAGTTGCACGTTGGTTCCAACTGCCACACAGTTGCGTATCGACAATGTGGTATGGGAGCAAAACCGCCTCTCGAAAGACAAACCGAATGTAATATTTATCTAACCTTTAGCCTTACAAGTAGTGGCACATCGAGAAAAATAAATCGCTTAGCTGTGGCATCCTTCGGGTGCATAATTGCAATGCAACTGGAAGGAAGAATGATGGCTGAAATATTGTCCAGTCGGCAAACTTAGACAAGAGTAAGAAAAAAAGCCCGAATTCGGATCACCACAGGTACCTCCCGGTTATCACCTTTGTGCTTCGTCCATTTGGCTACCTTGAAGTCATGCATATCTGTGCGGTGGTATCTCTGCTACTGTCGAAGGCAGGGTATTTCCCAAGCTCAAACAATGCACTTTGACATCCTAGCCCAATGGGTATCAATAGACCGATTGGCACGATTACCTGAACACAAACGCGTGAAATCCCGCATACCAAGCAAAACATCGATCGATAAATGACCCCAACGTAGCTCGCTTTCTTAATCGCCTGGCAAATGCTGCCATCCGAAAGTCTGGAAAGCCACGACATCGAGAGTAGACAAAGTTCATAGCAGAACTAGACTTACTTGAGAGACGCGGAAAAAATCAACTTTCAAATGGTTTACACATTCATTTCATTCAAATGGTGAATAGTTTTAGGATGGCACATAAATTCTGCGGCAAAACCGTGCAATTATCCTTTTTTTGTCCCAGAGCACTAAATGCCTTCAGGTGACCGAAAACCACGAAATAGCTGCAAGATAAGTCTTGGTGCTGAAGTATTTTTAGGAATCGTATGTTGAGATCGGAAAAGTTAGCACAAAACTAAATTGCCATTCTAATTCTAACCTCACATTAGTCGTCGACTGGCAGAAAATAACTGTACCCCACATGCTGTTCACCTATTCTGAACTCCATGATAAATCAAATGTGTATCTGTCCTTCAACGCCTGAGTGTCTAAAACTCTTGGACCCTAGCAATCTGATGATGGGGCAAATCTTGTGCTTCGTAAGGGTAACAAAGAATTCAAGCCCAATTTAACGGCGGACTAGACACTGCGACCCATACGATGCTATTGCGCGTAGATTTGACAATTAAATGAATAATACGGACAGTGACCAAAGACACAAAGTGAAAGCCTGGTCACGTCTGCATAAATTACCAAGCAAGGGAAATCCAAGTCCTTCAGAAGCGAAGTTTCGGACCATGGAGAACCACAAAGGGGACATGCAACACCATATTTGTGAACGAATAGTCTAGAATCCAAGTTGCCGTGAAGTGAAAAATATGGTAAAGTCTACGACAAAATAATCTAGCTTTCAAATTAATTTGGTGTTAAGAGCAGGTCCAACTGAAACTTTCGTTAATGATATCCTTCAACCGAATGTATTGTACACAAGCTGCCCCAGGTTTCACTCGGCAAAATGCTCGCTGATGGAGATTCGAAAGCTACACCTACCTCGCGGGCCCAAAAAGGGGCAAAACGAGCAATGGGTTTCCAGCAGCCTTAAAAATAACGGGTTGGTCTTCTTCGCCACCAAAACGGCAATCGGTGCAGTCGAAAGTTACGAGTATTCCAGTCATTTTTTCTGATGTACACAGAAACAAAGAGACACGAATAATTTCCCGGCCGAAGTAGGAGACGATGAACAATGCACACCTAGGCTTCAGCTTAAAGTGCTTGCTCCACTTTGCTTGAAACTTCAAGATTAATTCCAATCAAGTACGGTTATTCAATTGCGCTGGGTATCCTGTTATCTCCAGATGCAACATGACCGTTAGGGACCACAAGAACTCACCTAATGCTAGTTTGCCAAAGATTATACATTCAGATGGGATAAAAGATGACAGTCAAAAGGGGTAGAATTCTTTAGTTTCGGCGGGTTTTTGTAGAATAACTGCGATAAGTTAGAAAACATTATATTTGGTCTACCAGTAGCCAACTCCAAATATCCATTCAACTACCTCATGATCATCCTTCTGTTCTTTTTGCACCAATGAAGGCTCCTTGGATGCTGCAGTTTCCACTTTGGATCCACTTATGCATTTTCGGCCACATGGAAGGTTTCAGTGACCTGGGATAAAAACTTTGTATGTAAGGTTAGACGCAGAAATTAGTTTGTTTAGCCGCGGTTTATTTGCCAGTCGAGTCCCTGGGCACATGCACAGCTGATAAACCCCAAATCAACTGATCTTCAATGATCTCCCTTAAACTTTGTGGCCCTACTTTCAACCAAATCAGCAAGCCTAATGACCCCAGTAAGAGACAGAACAGCGAGTCCCCGAACCAGACTCAGTCACGGCTCAAGGCTACGAAGACAAAGTTCAACCATGGACTGACACAGAAATATGAGGCCGACAACTTTTTCTACTTAGCTCCAAGCATGTTTTCAGAAGTGCATGGGAGACTATTAGTAGTTTCAATTTGGGCAACGTTTCGCTTTTGACACAAAAGCTACTCTTATGTTGGCCGTGTTTAGAATGGCCTGCATCCCGTATTCTTCAAAGAAGTTGGTTAAGTCTTGGTGAACAGTCTGATAAACATAATGCAGAAGATTTGGAACGAATACAGAATACCAGCAGAACGGGGCTCCTCGAACGTCACCCCTAGTTGCAGAAACGGCGCAAGAACGTCATATGAAAACAACCGTTGTATCAGCCTAGTACCGTTGCATCTAAGGTACTCTTTGGGACTACTTCGCTCAGGGTGATGGATTATCGAGAGAGACGGATTCGTGAGAATCAAGCTGGGTCTCGCCTTGGTGGTGGATGCCTCGAACATATCTTTGTCTTGAGACAAATTCTTGAACGGCGCTAATCCTTCAGACGTCCCACGCTGGTCCTTTTTCTGTATTTGAAAGCTGTTTTGATTCTGTTGATCGTCATCAACTTTGGCAGTGTCTGGCGATCAAAGGTGTTCCTTCCAAATTTCCCTCCCTTATGAGGTTACTGTATGCGAACTCCTGGGGCGCGTACGAGTATACGGTAAGTTCTCGCCTGAGTTCACCATGTCCAATGGTGAAAAACAAGACTGTCCTTTTTCCCCTTTCCTCTTCAACTTTGTTATTGATATGCTGCTTGTAATTTTTCTACCTGCCTGTGAAACCTCGGGAGTCGAAATGCTCCCGGGACGCTCCTTCACAGACATTGAGAATACATCACGGTTTGGCATGTACATCACACCTGCGAAGTGTGAAGTGCTACTGCAATAGTAGGTGGGATCCAACCCAAACCTCACGCTTGCAGACGAGTTAATCGACATGGTAGATAAATTTATGTACCTGGGCATTCGCATAAGTTCAGGTGGATTGGTTGGAGATTACTTCACGGATCGGGAAAGCCAGGACAGCTTTGCCAACCTCCGATACCTATGGTGCCGACGTGAAGTCAGTCTGTTTGTAAAGGGCAGAGCTTATACTGCGATAGTACGACCCATACAGCTTTGTGAATCAGAGACGTGGCCTCTTCGCACAGAGGGCATATGGAAGATGCCAATATCTTCAAAGCATTGGTCGGGCCTGGTGGGAACAACGGATTAGTAATGCTAAGGTACGCCAGATGGTCCTAGGAAGAAGGAACTCTCCTGAGATAGGTGAATTACCAACGCTTCATAGGTTACGCTTGCTAAGACACGTACTCCAACTACCATAAGACCACTTGCTTCGCAGAACTCTTTCCACGCAGCCCTGTGCTAAGTGAAAGCCACGAACTGATGAACAGTGTATGACATGGCAACGAAGTACGAAAACACTAACCAGTAAACTAAGTCGGGTCGACAAATGCGGCCTCCCTGGATTCGGACCCCGGTACTCAACCCAATAACGGTTAATAAAATTGGCAGGAATAGCCCAATCGCACAATCAGTGCAACAAAGCTATTGCCTTCAATGTGTAGCTATCCAATTCCAGAAACAAACATGCTATCGTCTCCAAGGCTTGGCTGTATGTTCCACACCCTCCCATTTCCCGGTGATAGAAACTGTAGCGGCTAGAATCAATGTGGCTATGTTACACTGTTTATAGCTGATGAATTGAGTGATTGTTTTGGCCGCAATTCACAAATTCACAATCCTATTGGAGAAGTGTTAGATGAAAATTGTCTGTACCAGGTGTCTCTTAAGTAACGAAACCACACTGGACTTCCAACCTTCACAGATAAAGGGTGTCGGGCGTCATTCGGGTTCATGTTGAGATTGCGTTGACGGAAGACAGCAGAAAAATTCCCAGGATTATTAAGTCCACCACTGATGATGGCGGTTCAGGGAATCAACCAGGGTCTGATTCTTTTCGGAGATAGTTTCGCTGACACCCAACTTCCTTGGTTCACTTGACTGGATCAATAGAAACGCGTTACGTCCGTTTTCAGTCGCAAAAACTTCAACAACCTCTCAAAATCTTGCGACTTACCGGCGTTCTAGCAGTCCTTAGGATCTTCTTCCGATCTAAAGCTGTCATATTTGCATGGTGGCCGGGCCTGAGTGCCGCAACGATTTCGCAGTTCACAAGATGAAATCACGCCATGAAGGCCAAATAGGAGCATCCAGACCAAGAGCAGCGAGACTATGCACTACGAGGTGGTCTGCAATGGCAGTGTGAAGCCAGTAAGGTGTTTCCCTCAGACAATCAGTATGTCCATATTCACTGAAGCAGCAACGCCGCCCTCCCCCAAAAGAAAACCGGTTGGAGAAGGCCGGCCCAGAAATCCGAGAATTCCGATTGCCCAGCGGTTGACCGTGATCGCTGGCGCATTATTCACTACGGCCAGAATACCTTTGTACCGAACGACGCTGGTGATGCTTATAAGGTACCTGCTGTGCGCAACAGTAACGGAAGTGATGCAGTAATGTCTTACTCCCTGCGCCCTCTGGTTAAGCCAGCCCTCTGCAGCCGAGCAGGTCAGACTGTTGAATCACCGGCAGAGCTCCAGAGAAAGCCCTACTGTCTGTTGCCAAAGGCTCAGATTGTGGAACCTAAAACAACCCCCTTCGTCGACCTGGGAAACCGGTATGTATCATTTGTATCATTCGTAGTCCACCGATGTCCCTCCCCAAACCCTTGCCAGGACACAAGGAAACGTTGGTGAGTCACTTGATGGTCAGTTACCTGACCGATGTCCGTTGTTCAACCTTATGCCCATTATCAATAGGCAAAACAACACTGCAAAATTCGCGAGAACATCTGTACATCGGAGCCTCTAAAGTTCATATTCTGTGCTAGGTTTACAGACGGACGATGCTCGCCAAAACCTTATACTCCCCTAAAATTGATGTGTTCTGTGTCTCTGAAACATGTATGCAGGATGCAGGCATGGTCATACACCTCAAAACGCTAAGAACAAAATCGACTCTTTCAAATTTCACTCTCCGTGTGTCCGGTGATCCAGAATCGATGACAGATGAAATATGTAACGTGGGAGTTGGACTCGGTCCCAGAGCTGAAAGCGCTTTTCTGGAATGGCTTTCAGTGAGCAGTCGTCTTTGCGTCCTTCTGTTAAGCAGCTCAATCAGGCTTAATACCTCTGGACACAAAAACAATGCCTCTTTTCAGTGTCGGCATATGCTCTAAAGAACCGTAGTTTGGAAGCTGAGTAGGATAATTTCTATCAATAGCTATTCGGGCTCATTCATCGAGCAAGAGGCACTGGAATTGTGATCCTTGCGGGCGATATGAATGCCCAAGCCGTTCGTCTGGGCTTTTTGGAATCACACATCGATCGCTTTGGAATCTATGGTTGTTGTACAGACAACGAACAGCAACCCCCTCATCATCAACTGCCTCTGGTCTGTACGAACTTCCAGAATGAATGTTCGTATCACGTAACCTGGCCGCCACCAACTCAAAATCAACCGTGGACCCATTTGGATAACCTGGTAATCAGCCACCAGTGGAGAGGTACAGTTCATGACTTCCGTTCCTTATGAGGCACATAACTCGATTCCGATCACGCCATGGTGCGAGCACGCCTGACAGTTCGGCTCCCTTCAGGTCCTCGCAAGTCAGCGATAAGCGCGTCTTGGGAAAACTACCATGGGCCAACAGTATCAACCACCATCTTCGGAAAACTACCATGGGCCAACAGTATCAATTTGATCTAGTTCAACAAATATCTGCAGAAAATCAGTATTATACTGGTAGTGGGCACCTGAATGAAGACGGTAAAATCTGTGAGGAGCTGTGCTAGCGGCATTCAGTGCTGCCTGTCCGACTAGCCACTGGCTATCGTCAAGTTCGTGAGTCCTGACTGATGCCAGGAAATGCATGCCAGCAGACAACAAGTAGGACGCGAATCTCTCAAACATTAAATCGAGGGCATAAGGAAAGACCGATGTTGGACATCGAGGGCCCATGAGATGGAGGAGGGGTTTGCTACCGGAAACATCCATGACCTCCACTAATTGGTACGGTTGACTGGCTACGGAAAAGCAACAGTCGGTTAAACAATAAGTAAAAAAGGCAGCTCATCAATCTGCTTGCAAAACGCCCCGTGGGGAGATGAGCCGGACACTTTTAAGAACAGTTGGGCTGATCATCTGCAGCACAGCCTCTGGAGATAGTGCATACGGGCGAACGGAATGTAAACCATCGTTTTCCTTTAGATGAGGAAATAAAATACAAGCTATCTGCATCAAAGCATAGGAAGGCACCAGGACTGGATGTTCTGTACCCAGCTCTCTTACAAAAGGGCAGACAACCGATGGTGACTCAGCTGACAAAACCAATTGCTGTGATATGGAGTAAAGAGAATAAGCCTTCGGAAATAACCATGTCGACAGCTATTCCTGTCGTCAAAAAGGGTACGCGGACGATATGTGGAATCTATCATAGCATCAGCCTGGTGGCTGTCGTATCAAAGGTGCTCCCTGGTCTTATCTTTCGAAGGTTGACTGAACACAGGGAGAGATAGATCCGTGGAAACCAAGCTAGGGTTCGTCGTGCACGAAAACGGATCGATCACATTTGCACCATCCAAAAGATTACGCAAGGGGGTCACTGACTTAAAATCTGCCTTCGACTCCGTGGATCATCAGATACTGTGGCAGGTTTATGGGTCAAAGACGTCCACTGAAAATTGTTGAACCTCCATGAGCTGCTGTGCGCCAACTTCAATGGACGAGTAAATGTGTACGAGAAGTTTTCGCCTGGGCTCAGTACATCAAGCGGTGTCAGACGGAGCTGTCGTCTTTCAACTTTCTTCTTCCACGTCTTCACTGATTCAACTGTGGAAGATTCGCTAGCAGCCTCTAATGCCCATTGGATCGAAATGCTCCCAGGGGATTGACTCACAGATATCAAGTAGGCAGATAACACAGCGCTTTTTGAATTCGTAATGCAAAAAGTATTAAACAAAGCAATTCTGCCTCACCGTTTGGCATGTGCTTCACACCAACAAAGTGTAAAGTGCTGCCGCAAGACTGGATGAGTTCGAACCCCAGCCTCACTCTTGCGTATGAGCCGATTTAGGTAGTAGGAACACTCGTCAACCTAGGTATTATTCCCGGTGGTCCCGCGAAGGATGATATTGTTATCTGGATAGGGAAAGCCAGAGCAGCTCCTGTGAATCCGCATCACCTGTGGCGTGGGTGTGACATCAGCTTGTCCGTCAAGGGTTGCGTTTACATTGCTACGGTACGCTCCGTGTTACTATACGCATCAAAAAGCTGATCGCCGTGCGCCGAAGACGTCAAAGGAATCCAGTATTTGACCATCTATGTCTTAGGAAGTACGCTGAAGTACGTCAAATGGTCTTCGGAAGAAATAACTCGCACGCGTTAGGCGAACCCATCGCACTCCATAGGTTGCGTAGGCTCGATTACGTGCTACATGTGCCAGTCGACTTCCTTGAAGAGCCATTTGCACGAAGGGTGAAAGAAAATCAAGAGAAATTCAATCAATGACTAGGCAACGAAGTTTGAGAGCCATTGCCAGCAAACTCAGCTGCACCGGTCATTGCTGTCTTTCTGGATGGGACTCTGAGTTGGGACACATCAACGGTTAGAGACAGAGGCAGACATAGTCCACTTGCCCCCTCAGTCAAGCTCATGCATCCAAGCTGCTTCCCTCAGTGCACAGCTCCCATTCAGGTCTCACCAATCAAAAATCCACTGACACACACACTATAGACGCATAAGGTTGACGAAGACTCTAAGACTGCGCCTACCTGATGAGCCTCAAGAAGGATGAAACCAATCGTGGGCTGTCGAGGAGTTTTCAACAGCCTTATAAGTAGTGCATTACAAAATGTAGACTCTCGTTTCAGAAAATTCCTGCGGCCGGTAGTAAGTGGCAATTCCTTGAACTTATTATCAGCGAAAAAGCAGCCAATTAGATATTTTTTCGCCAAAACCTTTTTTTAAGCCAAGTAGTACTCCATCTACTCAACAAAATGGGGCCATTTTCCATAAATACATGGTATTACACAATTACAACCTTTTTCTTAGTTCGTGTGCGCCTCTAGCGATAACCCGTTAACCGCTATCCATGAATAAATAGGTGAAGCAAAACTGTGCCCTTCCACCCTTCCCCCAACTACTGCTCATGGCTGCCTAGTTTGAACAAGTGTCCATAGCCCACGGTGCCAGATGTAAACCTGCTAGCACTCGTTAAGTGAACAAGTGATGCCATGTTCAATTTTTGCCCCAAGTGATGCTAGTTTAATTGCTGGTTATACCCCATTTCGTAGCACAGTATACTCAACCTGACTATTCAATACTCCGATACTCGAGGAACTTAACTTCCATCTGAACACACACTTCGTTCTGTATGTCAACACTTAACCCTATCTCCTCACCCAGTATAGCACATATCCATGTTCCTCTCACTAGCATTCAAGGTCTACAGCCCTCTAAGAGAAGTTATAGTGCTAAAACGAATGCTTCTACACGGCTTGCTACGTTACATTCAACGCATTAGTTATACATGATTACCAGGAAAATCTCCTGGTGCACGAAGCTGTTTGCATACAACTTTATGAGATGTGCGTGCTAAAGTAACTACTTTTCATATGGCGGACTTTCGTGCATTGAATGACATGTGAAGGCACTCGCCTGATAGGTGGATCTTTCTTCGTCAATCGGATATGTTGAAGTGAAGGAGATAACAGAACATCAATAACCTCGAGGTGCACTTTCTACCCCCTGCAGTGTAAATATTTATCAAAACCTCCTTCGGCTATATTATACGTTAACTTATCAGATGGCCTTGCAACTACAACTCGGAGTCTCCAGACGGACTCTAAACCAACCACAGTGTCAATGTCAAAGGGGTTTCGCAGGACTCAAATGTCATAGGGTAAGGATCTATCTTTGTTTTCCAGGCAGATCCCATAAAATACATTGATGTACCTACAAAACAGGTTGACTTACAAAGAGTGGTGCTTAAATTCCCTTACCTATATTCATGGTGACGATCATTCCGCATTCCACTTAACGGTTTAACGATCCCAGGAAACAAAATTTCTACACAATGATGTTTGACATGGAGACGTTCTTCCGCGGTTTGCGGTCATGATTAAGTGATAATTGTTAGACCATGTCTTCCGCTCAATTCCAGAAGTTTTGAAAATGTTGCGTTACCTTGAGTGTATCGACGTTACGCAGCATTTCTCCGTAATGTTCACGGGATCCCAACTTCAGAAGCGTCCCACCAAAAAGGTTGAACTGAACGGTCATTTTCGTTGTCATTGAAGGATCAACAATCGCACAAAGTTCATGAGCAGCGAAAATTCGGTGTGGATTATGATCAAAATCAAAGACTGACAAGATATCGTTATCGCACACAAGCTTCAAACGTGACAACGCGAGCTGTCGTTCTTCCTCCAGGGAAATAGCATACCTGAGGATTGAACAACGGTGATATTTACGACATACCGGGGGATCATTGCCTCTGTGGTTAATAACTCACGTAGTTTGTCGCGAGTTTCGTGGTTGTCGTGATCCAGAATATATTTGAGTGCTTTTACGTCGATATTTTCACTTTTCCATGCTGCAACATGATCCATTACATTCAGTTTCGACCGCCTGCTGACAAAACGGCGAAGAACCACAACTGCTGATGTCCTGCACGCAGAAAACATCAGGGGAACACTGCAGTAGTGAGCACCAGACAAAACCAGAAACCACACACGAGAACGCGTAGGGTAATCAAACAACCCTGAACGGTGTAGCATTGAACACAGTTCAACTACAGTTCACAATACAACTTAGCTCGGATTACAGCTCCATGATATCGTAGAAAAGCCGGGTATCATCCAGATTCCCACACACAAAGCTCCAACTATCACCGTCTTGCGTGACATGTGAACAATCCAACAGAAGTGACAACATCTGATATATGATACGTGCCCCAGCTCGCACATCCACCTGGCAGCCTTACTGCTAATGGCGGAATAACTGCGCCAGAACGGAGGCGTATGTAATACTTGGAGCGGCAAAACGCCTGGTGGTAGGCTGTGTACCGTTATCTCAAAGAACAATTATGATTTTCGGATGTGCTGCGCACCAACCATGGAATCCAATGTTCTGGTGGAGGACTGCCAGCGATGTGTTCGGATATTACTTTCTTTGCAGCAATTTATACTGACTGTGGCTGGTCACTTGATAATTCACCACACGCGGATGCACCTTCTTCGCTGTTGCACGATTCGTCAGCCAGATTCTTTGGATGAAATTTCCCGTGGTCATGTGTTAAAGCGTTTTTTTCTAGTGAACCCTACGTATTCGAGTGGCCATGCACAGCAAAATCGACCGGCAAGGAAACGATAAATAGCTTCGTCCATCAAACGGATTGTTTGTCACATAAAGATAAGCACACAGAGTTTGAATTCTTCGATTTTTTCAGGCACGACAGTTCCAAAACTTCCCATTTCATGAGCTGTCTCAGAGGACACCAGTCAAATAACGGTTTAAATCTCATCTTCACGATGACCGTTTTCAGTCCAGAAGTACCTACCTTACCTGTTGCTCCATCATTAGGAAGTGCTCAGGAGCATTTCTGGGTTAACTGTTTGTTTGGATACATCACTGGTAGTGTCCAGGCCCGGCTGTCTCGTCACGTGTTTTTACGTTATCATGTTCACGGCCCTTGCTTGCTCACGTCCAGTGGTGCCCATAGGGCCACTGAAAAACTAATAAGTTGCTCAGTCACAATCATTTCGTTATACAAGCCAGACTAGGCTTGCTCGGTTAACGGTTCCGGGTTTGGAAATTCGTCAAAATTATGTCGGGCGCGCACTGCTGGCGCCTTAAACAGAGGCTGAAAGGCCGCCTTCCCTCTGCTTGGAAGGAAGCGATTGTCATGCCAATCTACAAAACTGATGAGCAACTATCGCCTGGCAGCTACAGGCCTATAAGCCTCACTATCGTGCCGTGCAAGTCGATGGAACGCATTCTGAAGCGAGCTATCATAGATCACCTTACTTCCAGCAACCTGATATCTCCAGCTCAACAAAGATTTCTCCAAAACCGCTCTCGCGTGACAAACATGCTCGTGCTTATGGACAGCTTAACCCAAGCCAAGGACGAAGGATTCATATCGGATGCCATATTTTTCGACTTCTCAAAAGCAGTTGACAGGGTCTCACACGTTCCGCTTCTCCACAAACTCGAGTCTTACGGGATTCAAGGGAAAATCCTTCCCTTGGTCAAAGCGTTCCTATCAGACAGGTCATTCCGAGTGAGAATAGGCTCA